CAGCCTGGACACGTGAAGGGCCTGGCGGGTCAGATGGAGGACTTGTGAGGCCCACGGTGCCAGGTCTCCTCCCACAAGCTCCCCCTTCCCGGACCAATCTCACCCTGAGGACATGGCCTGTTTCTGAGGAGCAGGATGGGCCAGGGACTGGTGGCCATCCTTGGGGAAGCCAGCCCTGCCACCCCACCTCCCTCTGAAACCTGTGTCAGCAGATGGCCCGTGTCCCCCACTCACTCTGCCCAGGCCCAGAGGTCCCCTCCTGACCCTTCCTTGTCTATTGCTGATAACTAAACATTTTCAAACTAATAAAAGCAGAGATTTGTGGGGTCCAGGAGGGAAACCCACTTCCCCTAAACACCTCTCTTTTTATAGGAGTATGTCTGAAATCTCATGTTTTGAATTGAAATTTTTGGAGCTTGTTTCCTTTAAAACATATCTAAGGCGTGAGGATGGCAAATAAATGAGGCTGGTAAGTGTGTTTAGATAGTTTTCTCGTTCATGTTAGTGAGTACAGACTTTTAAATCTGATGATGTATGTTAATCATAAAAAGGAATTACTCATAATCTCACAACTAATCAATATCGAGATTTTGCTTAAGAGCTTTTGTTACCTTGATTCTTTCCTTCCTTTTCTCTCTCCCTCTCATTTAAATAATGCAAAATTTGATTTCAGTGCCCAGAAGCTTTTGATCTCCTCACCTCACCCGAATGTGTTTGGCATCTTACCGTGTGGACGCAAATTCTCTGCCAAGAAAAATTTTAATGACTGCGTAGTATTTCACTGTGTCATTTACACCATTTATTACCAAATTTTCACTGTCGTAAATAACTCCTAGATGAATATCTTTAAACATGTATCTCTGTTGACATGTTGACTTCTTTTCTTAGAATGCTTTCCTGCAAATGAAATTGATAATACGTACATTTTGACATTTAAAAAAATCCCAGTTTATTGGGATGTAAGTGACATACAAAAAGGTATATATATTTAATGTATATAAGTTTGGTTAACACTGCCAAAGTACCTTCCCCAGTGAGTGCCTTACCGGACGGTGAGTGCAGGGTGGGAGGGGGAAGGGAGGGGCGGGCTCCTGAGACTTGCAGGTGATGGACAGGGGTCTGAGCCTGCTCCCAGGGTGGCAATGCCGTTGAGGGCTCCTCAGAGCTGGATCTGGGACAGAGAAACCCACACTGGCTCCATCCCGTTTCCTCCCTCAGCTTCCCTTAACCCCTTCCTTCCCCTCCGCAGCCTGGGTCTTGGCAAAGGGGTAAGAGTGGGGTCTCAGATTCCCTACCCACTCCCTACCCTGTCTGACTTCCTTGGCTGGCAAACTAAGAGATCTTTTTCCAAATCCCGCATTGCGAGGAACCACTGCCACCTGCCGTCTGCAGGGCCGTGAAGGTTGACATCCTCGCCAAACCCCAGCCCGTCCCAGTGACTGACCCCGCGCTTTCCCGGGGCGGGGGCCGCAGGCCCAGCGGTGCGGGGCTGAGCTACACCGTGTTCACCATCTAATTTGGAGGATCAGGCCTTTGGGAAAGAGAAGGAGGTCCCATTGAACAAGGAGGGAAGCCAGTGAGGATGTGGGCTGAACCGGAAGAGGAGAGCTGGAGAGGAGACATTCCTATTCAATAGGAAGTGGCCGCAGGATCTGGGGTTCGGGGGGGACAGGTAGCTGGGGAAGCCGTGGACGCTCCGGGAACAGGCACTGAGGCCCCAGGTCCTGTCCTGACACCTGCTCTGGGCTCAGCCAAGCCCGGGCCCTGGATCCTGCCACGTGGAAGCAGCTCTGGGCTCCGGCCTGTCTGCCCGCCGGGGAGCCATCCAGACCGTGAAACACATCAGTCACGCTGCCTTCTCCTCGGAAAGGCACCTGCAGGGGACACCTGCAGTTACTGCCCCGCTTGTTCCTGGCCACGACTGTCAGGGTGTCCTGGCTCCATTGCGTAACTAGAGGGACTGAAGCCCAGAGCAGGCTGGCGACTTGGCGGAGGTGACCCCGGAACGGTGGCCCCGCCGTCCACCACCTGCCTCTGGCCGGGGCCTGGCCTGAGGCCCAGACAGGGGGAGGCGTGGGTCAGCAAGAGATCCTCTCCTGCTGGCTGTCCTCAGCCCCGCCCTCGGGGGGTGGGGGTCACAGCATCCACGCACCAGGCGGGTCTTCTCTCCAGTCCCGAGCTGTTTCCAGTTCCTGTTTTCTGATAATGTGCGGCAGCGCCCTGCGGAGTCTTTGGACCAAGCAAGGACTGCGTGTTGTCCAGGGCCTGCCTGCCCATCAGCCAGGAGCCCCTGTCCCAGCTCGAGATGGCCAAGGCTCTCCCCTGCACCCACACTCATGCCCCCCAGCCTGGGCTTCTGGGGTCTCTCCCATCCCCCGGCCGCTCCTGCAGAGAGGGGATGACATCCCCTCAGAGGCTGCCGGGAGGTCGGCTGATGCGATGAGTTGTGAACGGCTGTGCGGGCACGTCTGACGGCCCAGCCGCAGCCCTGGACGGCCAAGGGCTTTGCTTCTTGCCAGGCATACGGGAACGCCTTAAACAGCCATCACTCGGGTGATTCTTTGCTCTTGAGAGACCTCCTGGTGACAGCCCCCTGCTTATGGGAATCCCTTCCCGCTTCGTCTCAGGTCCCCTTCCCTGTGTCCTTTTCATGTTTCCCCAGTTAGCAGCCCCCCCAGGCCCACCCCCTCAGTGGGCGCCCTGGGGCTCTGTGGGCCTTTGTGTCCATTCCTCAGGGTCCTGCTGCCCGGGGACAGGGAGCCCCGGCGTGTCAGCCGCAGCTCCCCACCGGGCACGTCCACCCATCTGCCGTACCAAGCGACGCCGGTTTACTGAACCCCAGTCCAGCACGGCCGATGGAAGCCCATGGACGTCACTGTCTTGTTCTGAGGGCGGGAGGGGCCCTGGGAGCCGGGCCCCGGGCCGGGCACCTGTCGCCCGTGGCCGACGTCCCGTCGCAGAGCCAGCCTGGAGCAGCAGTGGGAGGCTACAGCGGCCTGGGGACGTCTGGCTGCGTCCCAGCCCCACTGTG